AACACGAAGTTGTCAGGTCGGAAGATTTGCCCGAAGGGTCCCGAGCGCACGGAGTCCATGGTGCCGGGCTCCAGGTCCACCAGGATGGCCCTGGGCACGTATTTGCCTCCTAAAATTCACCAAAACCCCCAAAATTTAACCCAAAATTCACCCCAAAGCCACCAGGATTACCCTGGGTATGGATTTACCTCCTAAAATTCACCAAAAACCCCAAAATTTAACCTAAAATTCACCCCCAAACCACCAGGATGGCCCTGAGTATGAATTTACCTCCTAAAATTCACCAAAACGCCCAAAATTTAACCCAAAATTCACCCCAAAACCACCAGGATGGCCCTGGGCACAGATTTACCCCCTAAAATTCACCAAAAACCCCAAAATTCAACCCAAAATTCACCCCAATGCCACCAGGATTACCCTGGGTATGGACTTGCCTCCTAAAATTCACCAAAACCCCAAAAATTCACCAAAACCCCAAAATTCAACCCAAAATTCAACTCAGAATCACCAGGTTTACCCTGGGTATGGATTTACCTCCTAAAATTCACCAAAAACCCCAAAATTCAACCCAAAATTCACCCCAAAGCCACCAGGATGGCCCTGGGCACGTATTTGCCTCCTAAAATTCACCAAAAACCCCAAAATTCAACCCAAAATTCACCTCAGAATCACCAGGATTAACCTGGGTATGGATTTACCCCAAAAATTCACCAAAAACCCAGAAAGTTGCCCCAAAATTCACCTGAGATCCACCAGGATGGCCCTGGGTATGGATTGACCTCCTAAAATTCACCAAAACCCTAAAATTTAACCCAAAATTCACCCCAAAGCCACCAGGATTACCCTGGGTATGGATTTACCCCCTAAAATTCACCAAAAATCCAAATATTTATCCCAAAATTCACCTGAGAATCACCAGGATTAACCTGGGCACGTATTTACCCCCTAAAATTCACCAAAACCCTAAAATTTAACCCAAAATTCACCCCAAAGCCACCAGGATTACCCTGGGTATGGATTTACCCCCCAAAATTCACCAAAACCCCCAAAATTCAACCCAAAATTCACCTGAGAATCACCAGGATTACCCTGGGTATGGATTTACCTCCTAAAATTCACCAAAAACCCCAAAATTTAACCCAAAATTCACCCCAGAATCACCAGGATGGCCCTGAGTATGAATTTACCTCCTAAAATTCACCAAAAACTGAAAAATTTCCCCCAAAATAGGAAAAAAACCAGCCCAAAACCACCCAGAGTCACTCCAAAATAATAAAAATTCACCCCAAAACCACCAGAATTTACCCCAAAACCACCAAGGGGACCCTGGGCATGGATTTATCCCTGGAATTGACCAAAACCACCAGAATTTACCCCAAAAATCTCCAGATTTTATCCCAGAAGCATCAGAATTTACCCCAAAAATGGGAAAAGTCACCCCAAAAATAAGAAAAATCAACCCCAAGAATGGGAAGAATCACCCCAAAAATGAGAAAAAATGACCCCAAAAATGAGAAAATTTGCCCCAAAATGAGCAAAATCACCCCAAAACCACCCAGAATTCCCCTAAAATTACCCCAAAACTCCTGGAATCACCCCAAAAATGACCCCAAACTACCCAGAATTATCCTAAAAACACCCAAATTACCCCAAAAAATCCCCAAAATTCACCCCAGAACTGCCCCTAAAATGCTCAGGATTAACCCAGAAATAGGAAAAATCACCCCAAAAAAAGCCAAAATCGCCCCAAAAAATTCCCCAAAAAATCCCAAATTACCCCAAAACACCTGGAATGATACCAAAAATCAACCCAAAAAGAACCAAATTCACCCCAAAACCCAAATTTATTTCCAAAACCCCAAATCCATCCCAAACCACCCCAAAATCCCCTGAAATTCACCCCAAAAATCCCCAAATTTATCCCCAAAACCCAAAATCCTCAAAATCGCCCCCAAATTCATCCCAAACCACCCCAAAATTCCCCCCAAATTCACCCCCAAAATCCCCAAATTTATCCCCAAAAACCCCAAATTTACCCCAAACCACCCTAAAACCCAAAAATTCATCCCCAATCCCCCCAATTTATTCCAAATCACCCCCAAAATCCCCAAATTTATTCTCAAAAAACCCCGAATTTACCCTAAAACCCAAAAATTCATCCCAAACCCCCCAATTTATTTCAAACCACCCCCAAAATCTCCAAATTTATCCCCAAAAAACCCAAATTTACCCCAAACCACCCTAAAACCCAAAAATTCATCCCAAATCCCCCAATTTATTTCAAACTTACCCCAAAATTCCCAAATTCACCCCAAAATCTCCAAATTTATCCCCAAAAAACCCCAAATTTTTCCTAAAACCCAAAAGTTAATCCCCAACTCCTCCAATTTATTCCAAACCACCCCAAAATCCCCAAAT